CACCTGACCCAAGCCATGGTATTTTCAATAACCTCATATGCATGTGAAAGCTGGACAGTGAATAAGGAAGACCATAGAAGAATTGATGCTTTTGAAAAATGGTGTTGGAGAATATTGAAAGTACTCTGGGCTGCCAAAAGAACCAATAGATCCGTTTTGGAAGAGGTGCAGCCAGAGTGCTCCTTGGAGGCCAAGATGGCCAAACTTCATCTCTCACACTTTGGACATATTGTCAGGAGGGACCTATCGCTGGAGAAGGATATCATGTTTGGTATGGTGGACGGTCAGAGAAAAAGAGGATGACCCCCAACAAGATGGAATGGCTAAGTGGCAGCATTGATGGACTCCAGCGTGGCAACAGTAGTGAAGTTGCCCCAGGACAGGGCAGTGTTTCATTCTGCTGTGCATATTAAGGTTACTGTGGGTCGGTACCCACTCAATGGCACTTAACAACAACAACCAGGAAGTTCAGTTAAATTTAAATTTTAGTATGTCTCTTATACTCTAATTCCTTATTGTTACATGTGAAATTAAACTTTACCTGGTTATCCTGAATTTAATCTAGCACATATAGAGTAGACCAAGGCAAGGATTTCAAGATTTGAGTTCTCCAAAAGTTCTGTAACTGGATGGGGCATCAAACAAGGAAACTTCTGGGTTTTATCGGCTCGGGAACCAAGAGTGGGCACCCTCCCTGGTCGGGCGCAGTGAGTGCTGCCAGCAGTTGGCATGGGAAGGCGGAAGGCTTCTTTGCCAGAGCTCAGGCCTGGAATTGGGGATTCCAGAAAGTTCGCCTTGAACAGCGCCAACTACTGGACCCTGGCCAGAGGTTGGATGCCCGCCTCAAAGATGGCGCCCGCGGCGACAGCGAGCTGCTAATATGACGGCGCGGGTCACGCCCGCGCTCCCTGGCTCTCCGCCCCAGGATTTCCTCGGGTCGGGAGCGCGATTCGCGTCGCTGTGCGTTAGTTGCTTTACGGCCTGGGAATTGGTCCCGGTGGCCACCCGCCCCGCGCTATGAGGCTCTTCAGCTGGTGGCCGGTGGTGTTGTGGGTACTCGGGCCGCCCGTCCGCGGCTTGGAAGGTAAGTTCGGGAGAGGGTCGGCGGCGGGTGGTGACCGGCGGCGGTGCGTGATTTACGCGTAGAGGTGGAGGTCTAGCGGGGCGGGGCTCTTACCTGAGTGAAGACCAGTGATGCGCGCCTTAGCTGTTGGCGTTCCTCCAGGCGCTTTTCCCTTGTAGTCCAGATCTCTTTCTCTCCCCGGGTGCGCTAGCGGCTTGTGACGATGGTAGAGGTCCGCCCGCGTCCACCCTTGGCTATCGGGTAAATCTCTGGCCTTCGAAGGCAAAAACATCTGTTTAGTTAGGAGTGATCGTGTATTGTTCGTTTACTATGGGATAGCGTGTGCTGAGCACTTTATAAGTAATAATAATAATCTTAGCATATTGTTGTTAAGTGTTGTTGAGTCGGTTCTGACTCTTGGTGACCCTGTAGCTAATAGAATGAAACACTGTCCAGTCCTGTGTCATCTCCAAAATCTTTGCTATTTTGGAGCTCATTGGTGCAGCTCCACCCCACCCCCCAGTCCGTCTCATTGACGGCCTTCCTCTTTTTTTTTTTTTAAGGTTTTTATTGTGGATTGAGTGAAAGTTTACAGGGCATATCATCAGTTTCACATTCAACAAATCATGCACCTTGTTTCATTACAATGATTATAATCCCCACCATGTACCATCAGTTAACAATATTTCTCTCTATTCACTTTAGATTTTTTTTTTAAAAAACAACACTCAGGCATATATAGTAATTTACACCTCCAAAGGGCACCTTCAACAAATCAGTCTCCTGGCCACCAGCTCTCAGCCCCTCTCTTCCCATGAATCTAGAGTACTCAGCTGCTGCCTCTCTCCATGCCCCCATCTCTGCCTCCATCTCTGGCGCTGCTGCTTCTCTGGATAAGGTCCTGCATTCTATTTGTGCATTCCTTTCTTGATGGTCCTAGGGTCCTCTGTTTCTGGACTGTAAGATTAACCACGCCCCTTTTTTTGTTACAAAACTTCTGCCTTTACAATTGTGACAGTCGCAATTAGTCATGATAATTATTCACCATTGAATCTTAGCGAATCTTATCCCCATCTCTTTTCACCAGACAGGGGACTCTTTCTTCCTCCCACATTCTTAAACTAAACTCCCTCTCGAAATCTTGTAAGCCAGTCACTTTGTGCTTTTATCGCTCCCTCATTTTAGGTAGCCAATGTCTAAGTTGCCTGTCCCTTTCTACCCTGTAAGGAGCTCTGTTAGCGTAGTGGTTTCGATCGGGCTGTGAACCTAAAGGTCAGCAGTTCGAAACTACAAGCTGTTCCACGGGAGGAAAATGAGGCTTTCTGCTCTCGTAAAGATTTACAGCCTCGGAAACCCTATACAGGGTCACTATGAGTTGGAACTGACTCCATGGCACAAACCACCACCACCATCTACGCTGTGTACGGAGCGGATAGGATAGCATTGTTACTTGATGTAAAGACTCCTTCCCTCTTTGTTGGTATTTAGAGTTACTACCTCCATGAGTATAGGTCAGATTCATCAAATTGTAGCAGTTTACCCTTGTTTCCCTTATCTTCCTCTAGACAAGTTCTGATGGATTATCGAGCCATCGAGGCTAGGTCAAATGGGTACTGTCGGCAGGTTTGGGTGTTCTTGTGCCTCTCCCCTCACTTTATATCAGCTGGATGCTTCACTCTCCACTCTAGCCATCTGTGGCTATGTCCTTGTCCATGGGCTCAAGTGTTCTCAGGTCTCACCACACTTTAGACCAACCAGCCCTTCCTCTTCTCTCTTTCAACTCCAGGTCAACGGGAGTCAATGGACTGTGGTTGAACTCAGTCCATTTCTTCATTGCTGCCTTTCCCCCTCTTCCACTCACCAGTAGACCAGTGTGGTCGCCAGCAAGCTTACATGCCTGTTTGTGTGTTCTCTTTGAATTTCAGTCTTAGAGGGGAGTTTGTCCTGAAGGAACGTGATTGCTTGCCTTAATGGCTTCCTGGCGAACAGTTTGCTTATTCTTGTAGTAGATAGTTATGCTGACATTTTTGTTTTGGGTTTTTCCTGATGATCTTTCTTTGAAGATGTATCTTCTGTCGCTCTAGCTTTTCCAGGCTGGTCTGCTTATCCTTACTAGTGGGAATGTCCCACCTCATAAGGTTCTGGATGGGACTCCGGATTCTACCTAAGGTCATGTACTCTGCAAAGGCTTTGCGAGAGGCCTATTTAACTGGGCAAGTTCTAGAACCCCTTTTAGGTATTCTAATCAGTTATAGGCTGAAGACGGCTAACAAGATTTCTGTCATCATTTTTCCCAATATTCCTTTCTATCCCACTCTATTTTACAATAGTAAATATTTTTACACTCTATTTTATATTTTATTTTAGTAAATATTTTACACTCTATTTTACAATAGTAGGCAAGGGAAAACAATATTCATAAGACAGTCAGGCATCTTAGTATTTTTACCCTCTTCAAACTATACCTAGATTTCTGTATCCCAGAGCCCTGTTGGTCTAAGGTTGAGCATGTATCACTATTTACCGCTGTCCCCCTTTAGGCCATGCAAACCTGTCTCAGTGTTCCCCTATCTATCTTGTTCTTCTGCATCCTCCCCCTTCTTGTATTGCCCTCCCCAACACCCAAACTAAGCCCCCCACCCCAACCCCACTGTTGTGGTTGCCTTATATTCCACCAACTCTTTCCTCCATTTAAGACAGTCTAGTTTATCCTGTAATCTACCTGACCGTCTCACCACCTGGATCTCTGTTCCTCTGTGTTTACCTTCTTTCACGCTGTAATTGCTTTGATCATAGATTGACTACCCTTATCCTCTGTTCTTATAATTTTATTCTGTTCTTGACTCTTCCATTTGTCGATTGAGTTCAGGGTGATGCTGCCACGTACGTCATTCTCTTGTTGTTGTCTGTTCTTGTTGGTTCTCAGTCCACAGAACTTCCTTTAGGATGTTACTCATAGCAAGGTTAGCTTTGGCAAAATCCCTATCCTGGAATGTTTTGATTACACTGTCACATTTGGTTGACAGCTTTGCTGGGTAGAGGATTCTTGGGTGGCAGATTTTTTCTTTCAGAGTTTTATATATGTCTCCCCATTGCTTTCTTGCCTGAATGGTTTCTGTTGAGAGATCTAAGCTTAATCTGATTTGCTTGCCTTTACATGATACACTTCTCTTTTCTCTAGCTGCTTTCAGGATTCTGACCTTATATTTGATTTTGGCGAGCTTGATTATTTTATGTCTTGGTGATTGTCTTTTAGGATCTATCCTTCCTGGGGTTCTTTGAACTTCTTGAACGCTTATCTTTTCGCTTTTCAGGATGTTAGGGAAATTTTCTTCCAGCAGCTCTTCAACTATCGCCTCTGTGGACTTGTACGATTCATCCTGTTCTGGAATGCCAATAATTCTTAAGCTATACCTCTTCAAGTTGTCCAACATGAATTTTAAGCCTTCTTCAGATTTTTTTTGTCCTTTTTTGTGCTTGCGCTTCTGTCTTAGTAGTGTTGAGAGATTTATCTTCTAGCTCACTATTTCTGGCTTCTGTCTCTTCAGTTCTACTCCTTTGCCCTTTCTGATATTCTATTATTAATCATTTGGACCTCTTTCTATAGGTTTTGAATTGTTTCCAATGCTGTATCTATTTTATTTGATTGTTCCTGTAGCGCTTTTGTGACTTTTTCCTGACTTCTATACTTTCTTGTATAGTATTTTGATACTTTTTATAATCATTTTTCTGAATTCCTTCTTAGGCATTTCCAAAGCCTGCCCATTTTCCAGTATGGAGTGTAGGTTGACTTCCAGCTCGTTTGTCTCAGTCACTTTATCTCGTCTGGACATGTGCTGATACGGTCATCTGTTTCTGTTTTAGAGGCATATTCAGGAGTTATCTGTGGCCTTAATACTTAGATGTGTGTGTATGTTGGTATTTTTTATGCTCTCTGATTGCCTCCAGGTAGATGTGATCAGGAGATGGGCTTCCCTTTTCCCTCTTCTTCCTGAGAAATTTCAAGATGCCACTGTTGGTCATTGTGACGTAACTCAGGATTTAATTTTCTGCCTGTTTCCTTTTTAGTCTTCCTGTCCCACTCCACTATCCCCATTCAAGCCTTTTTCCTAGTGATAAACAGTTCAGGGCTGGCTGTGGCCGTTTTGCGTTGCTGTTTGGTTTTAAGTGGAAACCGTTGCTTTAAATTTCGAGGAATTCGCTGTGCATGCATAGTAGAACCTCCAGGAGTGGGGGTGGGGTGTCCACTTGCTCAGGCACCCCCTCTAGTCACCAGAATGGAGGTGCGCAGACAGAGAGAGAGACCAATGAACAGGTACAAGAGAAAAAGAATGTCCACACCTTCATCTTTGCAGTTCTGTCAGGTGTCCATGGCTGCTCTGATCCTCTGTTTGGTATTGCCCAAGATGGCGGCTCTGGGAGCAGCTGAGCGTCTTGAATTAGAAAGCAATGGTTTTCTTGCTTCTGCTACAAATTCTCCTAGCTGTAAGCCTTCCAACCTTCTAAATATTCCTTTATATGTGGTTCAGAGTTCTGGGACCATCCCTTGATCCTGCTTGGTACGGAAACTGAGAAGGACTTTTATAGAGGAGCAGTTTAGGGAAACAGTAACCTAGAGCCATACATTAATAGCTAGAAATTACATATCAATTTGTAAACTTCCTGTTCTGGAGCTAGCCTGTGGAAGCATTTTGTAAAATGACTTTACTTGTCTTTCAAGGATAGAGACAGCTTGTACAAAAACATTCTTTCGGAGAGCTGCTGCAGTTCTGCCTTTTGTCTTCCTCAGCCTCCCTGAATAAGCATATTAACCTTTACTGTGATCTGGGCTTGAATGCCTCTTATTTTTCAAGTCTATCAGGAATCCTAGTGGCACAGTGGGTTAAGTGTTGGGCTGATAATTCCATTAATTGGTGCTAAACCCACCAGCTGCTCCATGGGAGAAAGACGAGGCTTCTGGCTCCTGTAAAGAGTCAGGAGCTCTCAGAAGCCCTTCTCTTCTGTCCTCTGGGTTGCTATGA